ACTTTTCTTCCTTGAACTCCTCTTACATTTTACACAGTAGCCTAATCATCTTTGGGGAGATGGTTGGTGGTGTCATGTAGATATGCAGCAAGGTTTCGGAATGTTGATTTTGCCATGGGGGGTCAAAAGGGGGGGGGGGGTCGAAAAATGATGTTTTTTTATGCAAAAAGCCCCGTCTTCCCTGAACTCCTCTAACATTTTACACAGAAGCCTAATCATCTTTGGGGAGATGGTTAGTGGTGTCATGTAGATGTGTAATAAGGTTTTGGAATTTTGAATTTGCCCCAGGGGGTCAAATGGGGGTCGAAAAATGATGTTTTTATGCAAAAAGCCCCGTCTTCCCTGAACTCTTCTTACATTTTACACAGTAGGCTAATCATCTTTGGGGAGATGGTTGGTGGTGTCATGTAGATGTGCAGTAAAATTTTGGAATTTTGATTTTGCCCCGAGGGGTCAAATGGGGGTCGAAAAATGACGTTTTTTATGCAAAAAGCCCCGTCTTCCCTGAAATCTTCTAACATTTTACACAGTAGGCTAATCATCTTTGGGGAGATGGTTGGTGGTGTCATGTAGATGTGCAGAACGGTTTCAGAATTTTGATTTTGCCCCGAGGGGTCAAATGGGGGTCGAAAAATGATTTTTTTATGCAAAAAGCCCCGTCTTCCCTGAACTCCTCTTACATTTTACAGAGTAGCCTAATCATCTTTTTGGAGATGTTTGATGGTGTCATGTAGATGTGCAATAAGGTTTTGGAATGTTGATTTTGCCCCAGGGGGTCAAATGAGGGTCTTAAAATGACTTTTTTATGCAAAAAGCCCCGTATTCCCTGAACTCCTCTTACATTTGACTTAGTAGCCTAATTACCTTTTAAGAGATGGTTGGTGTTGTCATGTAGATGTGCAGTAAGGTTGCTAAATTTTCATTTTGCCCGGAGGGTCAAATGAGGGTAGATTTTTTTTGCATTTCTTTGCATTCTAGAACTTCCCTTATATTTTATGTATTAGCTTTAAACCATGATCATTTGGAAAATGATTGGTTTGTTTTATGTATGTGTAAAATGGTTTCAAAATTTGCATTTTCATGTGGATGGCAAAAAGGGGCATGAGAAAATGGCCCCTGCCTAACCCAGGGGGTCATGATTTGTACAAACTAGAATCTACACCTTGAGAATTTTTCCATATTAATCATGCTCTTGTTGTTCTTGAAAAGGAGAATTTTGAAGATTTGTTTCCTTTTATTCCTAAATAAAACTTTGATCCCTAATTATGGCCTGACCTAGCCTTTGAGGTAATGATTTGTAAAACTAGAAATATGTCTATAGGACATGAATGTCCCACTGCATGTATATTACTCATGCTACAGGAAAATTTGTATTAGTGTATTAAGTTTGTTGAAAATATCTCGAACAGTTTCTTTAGATTTGAAACTAAAATCTAAATAAATTGGATATAGATTATAAATCCTCACCAAATTACAGCGGTGTATGTATCTGTGCATGCTAAACATAAAAATGTCTTAAATTATTTCTTTAAAGCTAAGCGAAATACAAATTAAAAAGGATGGAGGTCAAGGTCAGAGGAATGTGCAAGGTGAAATGAAGTTATCAGCATTTTATGTTTGATTAAAATAAATTGAATGATTTAATGAAACTGAGCTTAACACATTTTCTAAGAAAAGAGAGGTCAAAGGAAAGGTTAGGGCCAAAATGTTAATTGTTGCAGTTGAATAGCTTACACCAGTATGAATTTACTATTAGCATATAAAGTTTAATAAAACTATAATTAATGGTTTATTTAAAACTTAGATAGACACATATTTTTAAAAGTTAGGCCAATGTCAAAGGAAAATTCAAGGTCAAAATAAGTTGATGTATTAAGTACAGCTATTTATAAGAACCAGGCAGAAATGAAAATAAGTGAAATGATAGTGATAGATTTTTCAAAAACTATCATATTTACATTAAGATACATCAAACTAAATACTTGATCACAGTTATAAATGGATTTCATGCATAGTTGATTAAAAAATGAAATCAATATATACTGAAACAGTCAACAGTATCCATTGAAAGGTGTCTGTATGTGCAGGTGATTTTTTAAGAAGGCCCGCACTCTCCTTGAATGTGAATTATAAAATATTGAACATCTACTATCAAAGAGTAAAAAACAATTAAAAAACCCATGGGTTATTTTAATTACGAATAGATATTGTGATTTTAAATTATGTAAAAACATGAAATTCTAGTTATCTCCCTTAGCACTCTTTAGTAAAAGGAGTTGGAAAGAGTGTATTTAACTCTTCAGTTTAGAAGGGGAAGATTAAGAAATGTGTGTGATTTCATATTGATTTTGGAAGTGCTGCCAGTTTTCATACATCCAAGGGGCATGTAAGTCTAAGACTTTTATTAGAAAAATATAATCCTAGGGAAAAAAATAACTGCCTGCAATTTGCTTAATTTTATCTGACAAAAACAAAATTTTAATTCCTAAACATGCTAAGAGTGAGTGTTTTGAAAAAGGCAAACTTGTTTAACAATAACATCAAAACTACTTAAATTCAGTTAATTTTGGGGAAAAACATTTAATTTTGTACTGGAATTTGAACAGTAGCTCGCTGCTGGGGATTAGAGTATGATGAGTATCTCTCCTTTCCGTTGATACTTCCTTACAAAGTCGACTGGAAGAAATCCTCCACCTCAGCATACATGAAGTCATAGCAAGAAGCAGTGAAAGCCACAGCAGAGATTGGATGGAGCATAATTTTTTCTATGTCTCGGCGCCTCTATGGATGTCATATTTAGATCAGGTATTTAATACATAACAAGACAAATGTCTAAACAAAGACAATATTGACTATTTTTCCAAATTGAAAAAGGGGAAAGTTAAGAAAAATTGATAGCAAACATACAGGCTGACTGCTAGTAAAAGTTATCAGTCCTGCTAAAAATCTACCAGCCTGAGAAAATAATTGCCTTTTGTAAAATTGATTTTTTAAACTAGAGGTACTGTGAGCAATGAGCAAATGATACCCCCCCCCCACCCACCGGCCTTCCATATGAATATAATAGTGTCCATGTTTTGCTGTAGGAAAGTATTATATTAATAATGCCATACTTTCGTACAATACCACTATTTTTTGCCTAATTTTACTCGAAATCTCAGGAGCTTCTGGGGCTTTGCCCCCTTGACCCCTTCATTCAAACTATGGTATGACTAACATATGACTGTACTTTGGAACATCACTATCAAGACCCCTTGTCTGAACAAAGTTATCCACGCCCCCTCCCCCCCCCCCCCCCCCACTTTTAATCACAAATCCTGTACTGCTCATGATATATTTAGTTGATTCGGAAGCAATTAATCAAATTAATAAATTTTAATTAATGAAAACTTTAAACAAGTCCAGCTGGGCATCGATATGTGCAAACTGGTAAGCCCACAGCAAAATTTTGCGTCTCGGGCGGTCAGGCGCACTGTTATTTCAAACACTGTTTTCGGAATGGCCAATGGACCGTCCTTCTTAAAATAGTGAATATTTAATTAAGCCCTGAAAAACCCAGATGTTATGGCAAAACCATAATTACTATTTTTCTTATTCATTTAATCAAAATGTAAAATTGTGCCCTTTCAAACTGTATATTTCCAAACTTATATGTGTATGATATTCTTCAAATGCATTTCCTTTTATTTGAATTATAAATAAGGGTAGGGCTACAAAATTTAACTGACAAGCAAAACAACCAATAAAATACTGTTATGGTTTTATCAGTTGAAACAGAGGGAGGGGGTGTTAAAGCCATAAAACCCTATCCGAATGGGGGAGGGGGGCTTCCCAAATATTCCTACAAGCAAATATATACACACGTAGAAAGAGAGAGATTTATAAATATGGGAGTATGCACATACATAGCTGCAGATCTGTAGCTCTCCGAAAAAAATTATTGATAGACCGTAGAGCTACAGTGCCACCCATTGAAAAAACTGTATATTTATTGTGCACAAAAAGTGCGCTCGGTTCTCGATTAATCTTTCCAAATTCTTACCTCAATTGCAAAAAATGGAAGGTTTCAAAAAATTACTCTCTACTCTATCAAGTTCTCTCGTAGTTGACATCTGAACGAAGCATATTAAACCGAATTATCTTTGAAACCAAAATGGCAGTATAAATAAGCGAAATGTCCGATGATTGCAATATCAGGGTTAGGATCAGGACTATTAACAACAATTATGATGAATGTTTTGTTGTGGAAAGAGTCTAAGAATATGTTAGAAACACACGGTTAGTGATATTTTGAGATTACAGCTTTAAAAACATAGAGAAATAAATCGAGGACCGAGCGCATTTTTTTTGTGCGCAATAAATATACAGTTTTTTCAATGGGTGGCTCTGTAGCTCTCCGGTCTATCAATAATATTTTTCTGAGAGCTACAGATCTGCAGCTAGCACATACAATATGCATGGGTTTCTGCCAATGTTTTGTCTAATTTAGGTTTAAAACTTAAAATTTGATCCAACAAAACTATAACTCTTTTTGCAATTTATAACTAATACTGTATGAATTCATGATGATATCACTAGTACATGGGGGAGGTAAATAAATATTTATTATCAATAATTCAAAAGCTAAATTGTTTTATAAATGTATGCATTCTCTTGTCATATGATGAATTTCATGATTTGTTATCATTTTAGATGCAATCTGAGCCTTGTTCTGAATTTCAAAATCCCCTTTGACAACACCTGCACAGCTGAGGTAATGTAAACTTAAAAATTGAGGACAACCGTCACCAAGAAAAGATTATCAATTCAACTAACGTTAGTGTTACATATACTTTATATTATTTATGTATCATTAGATAATTCGGTATTTTGTGTTGACAACTTGCATTTTTTTTTAATTATCATTAAGAACATTCCTTTTCGTTTAGCAATCAAGGACCTTCTGACTAAGGGCTGATTTATAGTGAACACTGCCATTCAGAGACTTTGAAACAGGTATTTCTTCTGATCTTCATTCTCTGAATTTTTTTAGCTCACCTGAGTCGAAGGCTCAAGTGATCTTTTCTGATCAAAGTTTGTCTTTTGTCTGTCATTGTCATTCTTCAAGGGGAGAGAATTACAAAATTAATAGCATTACTGATATCTTCCCAAGAAATAATGGCCCAAGATTGAAGAAATATGAAACTTATGTGGAACCATTGTCGGGTAGTGTTGATTCAAATTTTTCAAATCATGAACCCATGTGTAGGACGTGACCACAACGGATGATCAGAGTTTAACAGGAATATATAAAAATAATATTTTAAAATCTTCTTCTCTGATACAGCAAGCATTGATTGGTAACATTTATATGAAAGCATTTTCAGGTGGTGTAGATTCAAGTTTGATCAAATCATGACCCCGGGGATAGGGTGGGACCACATAGACCAATCAAAGTTTTACATAAGAATAAAGAGAAAAAATCCTTTAAAATATTCTTCTAAAGAACAGAGTCTTCTAAAGAACAGAGTCCCGTGCCGTGGGGATCCGGGTTAGAATAGGTCCTTAGTACCCCTTGCTTGTCGTAAAAGGCAACTAAATTGGGCGGTCCTTCGGATGAGACCGTATAAACCGAGGCCCCTTGTCACAGCAGGTGTGGCACGATAAAGATCCCTCCCGGCTCAAAGGCCGTAAGTGCCGAGCATAGGCCAAAATTTGCAGCCATTCACCGGCAATGGTGACGTCTCCATATCAGTGAAATATTCTGGAGAGGGACGTTAAACAGTATACAATCAATCAATCTAAAGAACAGAAAAGCCAGTAAGTTATATATACATATGGAAGCATTTTCTTGTAGTGTAGATTTGTTCAAATCATGAACCCCCCCCCCCCCAACCCCCAACCCCCCCCCCCTAGGTATAGGGTGGGGCCACAACAATACTCCTCTCTCTGTCTCCCTTACAGGGAGAGGTCAGGACCACATGCTTTTAAGCTTTTCAATACAAAGCTGATTTTTGATTTTTATCCAAGCAAGGTGAGTGATGTGGCTTTGGGTCTCTTGTTAAATCATTTATCTACACATATATATACAGTACAACTTGGTTATAACAAACTAGGACCTGTAAAAGTACTTCACTACATAATTCGTTATATCTATATTTGTAATTTTGTAATATTTATATAGTTGGGGATCGAAGAAGACTTCACTATATCCGTGAATTCACAATATCAGTGTTTGTACTAAACAAGTTTTACTGCAGTTACATGTATGTGGAAGCCAAATAGGAGTAAATGATGTATTATTGTATGTCATCTTCATTATTTTGTTCAATCCATACAAATGTTTCTTTGAATATTGGAAACTAAAATCAGTAGAAAGTAAGAAATTAAAATTTATAAAATGCAGCATATCTAAACAGAATTTTTGTTGTTGAAAAAAAACCCTTTTCAGATGAGCAAGGCTGTTATATTATAGTTATACTAATATTCAGAATCAAATAACAGCTAACTACTTGAGGCAAGGATGGGGTGAGGGTTAAAGAAGGGGTTACATCACTTGAAAATTAAGAGAAGAATCGTAGAGCTGAGGTTTTTCTCAAGAACCACAGGGCCAATTTTTACCAAACTTGGCAGGACTAAGACCCCTTACAAGGGGTGATAATCAAGAAAAGAGAAAAATAGGGAGCCACTGGGTTAGAAAAGCTGAAACTTATGTTAAAGCATCCAGGGATTAAGTGTAGATTCTAAATTGTTTAAATCATGTCCCCCTCCCCCCTAAGAATAGACCTAAACCACAATAGGTATTACAAGTAGGAAAATCTGGTGTAGAACAGAATGACCAGTTACTCTGGTGAGTGTTATGGACCATGGCCTTCTTGTATTCATGATCATAGAGAAAACGAACCTTAACTACTCTCTGCCATCAACAGCAACAAGAAAAAAATGCTTTGTGGAAAGCCTATTTTCATTAACAAAGTTCAAATTTTGAATTACATTTTTTCCAGATTGATGAATGAACCACATGCATTATGTCAGAGGAATCTAGCTGGAGCACCTATTTAGCAACCAGGACACATACATGTAGATGTACCTGTACAGTTGATACAGATAATCTCAACGGCACATTTCTGAATGATGGCCAAAAAATCTAATAAAGACACTGTCAGTTTAAAACTTTTTGAAAGAAATCCAGACCAGAAACAAAGGATATTGATTTTAATACTCCTCCAAATGTAACTTTGGGGTTTTATTGAAACCAAGACCAGGATACACCAAGGATATTTAATATTACACCCCTTCAACAAATAATTTTGAATTTTAGTTTGTCTATCTAGTCAAGAACATGGATTTTTTGACATTTGATATACTTTAAAATGTGATATTGACATTTTTTCAAGATTTCTTTACTGTAAACTATGTGTTTCAGCAAAAAGTACATTTACAGATGATTTTTCAAAAATTGCTTTAAAAATACAATTGAAATATTTAGATCATGTCTCATGAATGGTTAATCACAGTTACCACAGAAACCAAATATTTGTTTTAAAAAAGTTAGGTACAAAAAAAATGTTGTCTTTCAGTATTTTAGCTAATGGCCACTCATACAGTTTTCTTTATACAAGCTAATCACATTGACTAAATTGTATAGGCAAATACAATATTTTTGGAGATGTTGTCATGGTAACCAGATACAAATCACAAAAGCATATTTAAAAATATATATTTTCCTGTATTTACAATAAACTGTGAAAATAATACATGTATGTTAGTCAATAATTATTTTGTATTTTATGGAGATTTTGTAAAGTCAATTTATTTTAAAAAGCATTTCAAGAATAATTTGTTACCATAGTTACAAAAATTTATGAAAAATCCACTGGTTTTATCAAATATTTGCAAGGTTTAGGAGAACATTTTCTATCTTATATTATCATTTTCTTGTGCTTGTGGTATTTTTTCCACAACATACTCTGAAAATGATGTATTTTGGTATTTTTTGAAAAATGAATTTTTGTGATATTCTGTTGCCATGGTTACAGAATATTTTTGAAAAACCCATGAGTTTTATTTTGTTTTATTAGAATTAGGGTTGTGGTCTTTCTATTTCATGCTCTCAGTTTTCTTTAACATGTGGGATTTTTTCTATCTATGCTCTTAAAAATGGTAACTATTGTGAAAAATGAATTTTTGTGACATTTTGTTGCCATGGTAACAGAATATTATTTAAAAACCCATGGGTTTTATTTAATTTTATTGAAATAAAGAAAGTGCTCTTTCTATTTCACATTATCAGATTTCTTTAACATGTGGGATTTTTTCTTACTATGCTCCTAAAAACGGTAATTATTCTGAAAAATGAATTTTTGTGACATTTCGTTGCCATGGTAACAGAAGGTTTTTAAAAAACCCATGGGTTTTATTTAATTTTATTAAAATTAAGAATGTGCTCTTTCTATCCCATGTTATCAGATTTCTTTAACATGCGGGCCTTTTTCTTAATATGCTTCTAAAATATGTTGGATTTGAAGAAATATTATGAAAAGTGAATTTTATGAAATGACCTATGTTAAATTGAAATTCGACACCTTTAATAAATCCTATATAATTTTATCCTTATAGTAATCATTTATCATTTTTTATGTACTTCTCAGGAAAAAAAGATTTATTTATGGTACTATCATCAAAAAAGCTCTGTTCCTGTGTTCAATAATAGCTAAATTCACATTTTTTTCAATTTTTTGCTTGGTTGCCATATGCATTTACATGGTGCATTGTTTCCATGGCAACAAAGGCTGGCCAAAAAAAATTATGTTGTCCAATGATGTTCCCTTGGTCCATGAAGCAACATATTAAAATTTTGTAAAAATTTGAAATGGTCATGAATCACCCCCTGCCTGGTTCTTACAAATAGCTGTACTTAATAACTCTCAGCAGTGTGTATCAGCATATGAAGTTTGAGAAATATATTTTGAATTGTTTACTTAAAACTGATCTAGACATTAATTTTAGAAAAGTGAGGTCAGGGTCACAGGAAAAGTCAAGGTAAAAAAGAGTGAAGCATTGTAAAGCTTACATAAGTATGTATCATCATGTGAAGTTTCATTACACAACTTGAATGGTTTCTTTAAAATGAAGCTAAACAGAAATTTAAGGAGGCTAAGGGGTCAACAAATTATTTTTTTTTATTAACCACCAGTTATAACTTAAATTTGGGGATATGATATCTTAAGCTGTCAACTATCATTTGGCAAAGAAAAATTTCATAAATTTTAGTTTTAAAATTTGATCATTTTATTCTATCTTTATATGGAGCTCTTCGTTTAAAGGAAATCAAAATAGTCTAAAAATGGCCACAACCACCCATCCTCTTTAAAGAAAAGTTAAGTGAAGGTCAAAGGAAAAGTCAAAGTCAAACAATATTGCTGCAGTTGGATATTAACATCAGTATGCATCAACATATGAACTTTGAAAGACAGATGGAAGGGTGGATGACGGACATGACAGAAACTCTACATGTATTCCTAAGCATGGTGTGGCATAAAAAACTTGAATCTACATTATATGAGGATTTTTCCATCTATCAAGATTATACAAGCAAATTCAAAGAATTGTGGTCCTCTGCTTTCTGTGTTTAAGTGAATGGGATGCCATAATTTATGGCAGATTATGTGTCAAATATGCACCCATATCATATATCAATTTTTGAAAATTAGGTCAAAGGGGAAAAATCATAGCATGCTCTGAAACATTTTGTTCCAGGTAATGTACATTTCAAATATGAAAGTCCTATCTCTTTTGAATCAAAATTTATATATACAATATAATATTTTTGAAAAGTAGATTAAACTTCTAGGTCAAGGTCACAGAGTCAAAAGTCATGATATATTTAGAAAAGTCTTTTCACATGTAATAAACATGTATGATTTGAATGCCCTTTCTTTCTCTTTCTAATTGATCAATTTAAAATGTTATTTTTTGGAAAGTAGGTAAAGCTTTAAGGTCAAGGTCTCACGTGGGTTAAAAAATCATAGTATATTTAGAAAGTTTTGTGGTAATGTACATGTGAAATATGAAAGCACTATCTCTTATTATTCAAAAGTTATGACCAAGGTTAAATTTATTGTGACAGATGCACATACTAGCTGTCAATAAGATGGACAAACTGACAGACAAATGAGATTTAACGTCCCCTCCCTTTTCCCAAAACAGGGGACAATAATGCCCTTGCTGTTCTTGAGAAGAAGATTTATGATGGAAAAAATCCAATCGATATTTCTTAACGCAAATCAATATTGTATTTTTATGTCATTTTGTTTGTTGTTAAACATCCCTCTCAGGAACTTTTCACTCATATGGAGACACCAGCAATTGAAAAATAATGAGGACAAATTAGATTTGAGGTCAACAGTCATTTTAGGAGTTTTCAACCATTAAGACATAAAGAAATATTAACTCGATCCTTCCCCTCACCCCTTCCCAGACCACTGTTTGTTTATGTATGCAAACTACTACTTGTATTACATTAAAAAAAAATATACAAATAGTTTAATGTGGTTCATCTCTGAATGATTTTCATTCCTAATTCTAGGAAGATAGGTTGACACATATTCATGAATAAAATGTCAAGTAATCTTATCATTGATGCACTTTTATTTAATTTAATGCAGTCATATTGTGAACATTTCCAGCTCATAAGGAGAGTGGGAATGACCTCCAGGGGTTCATAACCTTTATACCATTAATTATTTACATCACATAATAACACAAGAAACAAAATTATGGATAGTCAAATGGAAAAACATTCCAACTATTTAGGAGTCAAATGATCATTTGTCATTACTGGGACAGGGAATGGATTGGGAGATCGCCCTCTCAACCCCCCCCCCCCCCTTCCCCCAGAATTTGCAGGACTATAATATATACTGGAGGAAATAAAAATGACTTTGGACGCCACAAGTGTCCCTCCACCTTAGAAAACAGACCCAAACATAACTTCTTTTTTTTGCTTCTCAGGAAATTCTGGTCTGGAAACCCCCCTCCCTTCCTGTCCCAGAAAAATATTCTGGATCTTGTAACTGAATGTAACGTTGATAACGGGGGATAACTCTTCAGAATGTCAAATTCGTCGGATGATCTTTGATCCTTTAAACTTGAACCTAACCGTTTGCATTTCAGACTATTTTATCCAAACCTATACCAAAACTTGTACTTACCGATTGTCATTATTTAGGTCCTGTAATCTTCATGAAATATAATCCAATTAAACACAAAATGAAATAATTCCTACTGACATATATGCAATGATGTGTATACCACACTAGTAGCCTACTGCACTTGCAGTGAAATCTAAAATTGATAATGCCAATGGTAAAACTAGTACTTAAGTTGGGTATGTGACGCAAGCCCAATGTGATGCAGGTGTTCAAATACATGCATAGTGCAAGAACAAATTGAAAATTATCATTTACGAAAGATGTTTTATCTTAACTTTACCATCTAGGCCTATTTCCAAAAAACAGGCAAATAAGGTGTGTTTGTATGTGTGTGTTGATGGGAGAGGGGTGGGGGTTGACTAAATTGATTGTGTATATGGCAGCTTTCAAGAAGTTTAGAACTGCCTAATCAAATATAAATAAACTTTGCAAATTTTGAAAAATTCATCAAAACGCTCTACACTAATTTGAAAAATATTATTTGTTGTTAAAAAGTTCCAATTTTGTGCCAAAAATTTATACCTCTCCCCGTTATCAAACCTAATTTACATCATCAATTTAATTCTGTTGTTTAATTTCAGGCTGGTAATGAATTAAAAATATGAAATACCTATTAGATGGAGGCCCATGGGTCACACGGTCACCTGAGCATATTATGCTCAATTTGATAAAACATGTTTTATGTAAATTATTGACTTTTTTCTTGGTAAAGCTCAATATGAAGAAGTGTGCATTTAGAGGCAAACACCTTAGTGCGGGTATTACTGTCTCATGACATCATCTAGTAAAAATATTCAAAACTTTTGAGATATAAAGCGTCAAAGATTTAGCATTTTGGCCCCTTGTGACCCCTTATTATGTAACATACGACATTAAAATCATAATATATAGCTGTAGATTGTTGAGAAAAATATATTTGCTTCAGTAATGTATATCAAAATATTGCTAGCTAAAGAGTTATTAATTACTGACTTTTTCCCCCTTTCGGCCCTTAATTTG